TAGACCCGAAACGTCAGCTTTCCTGCTCCTCTGATGCTGCTTGGCCTGCTGTGTTCATCCAGCTCTACACCTTGTTATCTCTAATGTTTCAGATTGATAACCTTTGCAGACATTTATTGTTCCTGCTGCAGATTCTGGAAATTTGAAACATTTTGCTATTGTATTAGAATGATCTATGGCTTGCCTCATCCAGTGACCTCTGTGTAGTCAAATGGAGAAGAATATGTCTTTTAGTCGAAAATCTTTAATGCTTGCTGGTTTCCCTTACAGACTGGGAAGGCTTACATGTAGATGAAAACATTTTGGATGCACTGCTGTTGAACACAAGTCGAATAGGCCATGGCTACAGCATAAACAAGCGTCTTGCAGCAAAACAGTTGTCCAAAAAGCTTGAAGTGGCAATAGAAGTGTGTCCAATCTCAAACCAGGTGCTGATATAATGATTGTGCAAAACAAATTGAGTGAACAACAACACCTTTCTCCTCTAGGAACTGATGATTGTAAAATAAACTTTCAGCCTCTGTTCAAACAGTTAACTTTGGAAATGCTTACTGAACTGAAATGGGTATTTAAATGCAGCTATCTTGTCCAGATCATTTTTTATCACGTTGTTAGGATCAGTTCCAATAATAGCATTATGGTGGCTAATTTACTATCTCATGTGGTAGGAGAGGTTTCATTTCTCTGTCATTGTTGAATTAGATGTTCTCAGCCACAGACAGTATTCAGTATAGGAAAGCTCAACAGAAAAGCAAAGACATATTAAAAAATACCCAGGGAACATCTCTGCTTTTTTGCTTTTGCTAGTGAAATTGTCAGTGCACATATAAAGAATATTGAATGCTAAAAATTTTGCTGATTTTGCGTATCTAACTAGCTTTCACCATGTCCAGGGATGGGAAGTAGCTGACCGAATCATTCAGTATTTGAGTTCAAAATCTTGTTCATAAAGTTCCAGGATACATCTTGTTTTTTTCCACACTTTACCTGAACAGACTGAACTTTGCTTAAATCTTGTCGTGCATACATTCCTGAGGGTTCATATAGTATGTAAATATGAACGTACTACGGTTTTGGAGTAGATTTGTAGCTCGGGTTGTGGGTGTTGAGGTTGGTTGGCTCGTGGAACTGGTTTGTTGTTCCGCAGATGTTTCGTTACCGTGCTTGGTAACATCCTCAGTGCAGCCTCCAATGAAGCGTCGGTGTGTTTTCCCGCCTGGCTTTTAAACTCTGGGGTCCGTTGCGATGGATTGCCTCACTTCCGGGTTTCCTCCTTAGTGGAATGTATATGGGGTCGAGTTCAATGTGTTTATTAATAGCCTGCTTTGTGGAGTGCCATGCTGCCAGGAATTCTCGTGCTTGCCTCTGCCTAGCCTGTCCCAGGAACTTGGTGTTGTCCCAGTCGAAGTCGTGGTCCTCCTTGTCCATGTGGATTGAGATGAGTGAGTATTGGTCGTGTCTTTTTGTAGCCAGTTGTTGTTAGTTTCCTTCCTGTTTGTCCAATGTAGTGTCTCTCGCAGTCTCTGCAGGGGATCTTGTAGGTGACATTGGTCCTGTCCACGGCGGGGAGTGGGTCTTTAGTTCGGGTGAGCACTTGTCATAGGGTTGATGTGGGTTTGTGTGCCACTCTGATGCCCAGCGGTCGTAGAAGTCTTGTGGTAAGTTCTGACGTGTTCCTGATGTAGGGTAGTGTGATGAGTGTGTCGGGGCGTGTAGAATCTTTCTGATGCTGTTCCTGTAGGCATCTCCTGACCCAGTTCTTTGGATATCCATTACCCTTGAACACTTGGAAGAGGTATTCCTCCTCCTCTTGGCATAGTTCCATGTTGCTGCAGTGTGTTGTTGCCCTTTTAAATAGTGTTTGCATGCAGCTTCGTTTGTGTGTGCTGGGATGGTTACTATTGAAGTTCAATACCTGGTCTGTGTGTGTGGCTTTTCGGTGTACTTTCGTTTGCAGTTCCCCATTTGTCTTGCGCTCTACCATGATATCCAGGAATGGGAGTTGTTTGTTCTTCTCCTCCTCTCTGGTGAATTTTTTTCCTGTGAGGGTGTTGTTTATGAGTTTGTGTGTCTCTTCTAATGTGGTCCGTTTAATGATGACAAAGGTGTCGTCTACGTAGCGTATCCATAGTTTAGGTTGGATTTGCAGAAGGGCAGTCCTTTCCAGTCTTTGCATCACTGCTTCTGCTATGAGTCCGGAGATAGGCAATCCCATGGGTGTCCCGTTGATTTGCTCGTATGTTTGGCCGTTGAAGGTGAAGTGGGTGGTCAGGCATAGGTCCAGTAGTTTAAGCATGTTGTCCTTGGAGATGGTTTCACTGGGGTCGTGTTCTTGGTCAAGTAGTGTTGTCATTGCTTCCCTTGCTAGTGTTATGTCTGTTGACGAGAATAGGGCGGTGACATCAAACGATATCATGGTCTCTTCGTCCTCTATCTTTATGTCTTTGATGGAGTTGAGGAGTTCTTGGGCTGAGTGGATGGAGTGGGGTGATTTGTTGACTAGGTGCTTGAGTCTTCTTTGTAGTTCTCTGGCTAATCTGTGTGATGGAGTGCCTGGTAGGGAGACTATGGGTCTGAGGGGGACTTCCGGTTTGTGCACTTTAGGGAGGCCGTAGAATCAGGGTGTGTTATTTCCTTCGGGTTTCATTCTTAAGAAGTCTGCTTTGTTGATCTGTCCTGTTTGTTTAAGTCTTTGTAGCGTGTAGAGGATTTTGTTGCCTAGTTGTGGTGTCGGGTCAGTCTGTACTGGCCAGTATGTGTTCTCATTGGCGAGCAGTGCTTGTGCTTTGGAGATGTAGTCCTTTTTATTCATTATCACTGTCATGGGCCCTTTTGTCTGCAGGTAGTATAGTGATGTTCTTGTCCTTCTTTAATCCGTCCAGGGCTTGTCGTTCTGGTTAGTGTCGGGACTACCGTCTGTCTTATAGTTTGTTGTGTTTCTTTGTTGATATTGTTGGTCTTGAGTGTGGCTTCCAGTGTAGCTAGCCATTCCGTTTTGTTGGCATCCCTGTAGTTGTAGTTCAGAAGACTTCTACGACCGCTGGGCATCAGAGTGGCACACAAACCCACATCAACCCCACGACAAGTGCTCACCCGAACTAAAGACCCACTCCCTGCCATGGACAGGACCAGTGTCATCTATAAGGTCCCCTGCAGAGACTGCGAGAAACACTACATTGGACAAACAGGAAGGAAACTAACAACAAGAGTACATGAACACCAACTGGCTACAAAAAGACACGACCAATATTCACTCATCTCAATCCACATGGACAAGGAGAACCACGACTTCGACTGGGACAACACCAAGATCCTGGGAGAGGCTAGGCAGAGACAAGCACGAGAATTCCTGGAAGCGTGGCACTCCACGAAGCAGGCTATTAATAAACACATTGAACTCGACCCCATATACATTCCACTACGGAGGAAACCTGGCAATCCATCGCAACGGACCCCAGAGTTTAAAAGCCAGGCGGGAAAACACACCGACGCTTCATTGGAGGCTGCACTGAGGATGTTACCAAGCATGGTAACAAAACGTCTGCGGAACAATAAACCAGCTCAGCGAGCCAACCAACCTCAACATGAATGTACTACTTTTAATGCAGATGATGTTCCTTGCTTGGGAAAAATACTTCTAGACATAACTCAATAGCTAATAATCCAAAGGTACGCAATATCACCTTGTCTGTAATGGCCCTGATTGCCCATAATCAGGACTTAATTTACTGTCGTGCTAATGTTTTCTGTTGGTTTCTTTATTGTAGGTGCTTATGTTGGTGAGTAATCTACAGAATCACCCAGCTGCAGCCTTAATGGCAGAAGGTCATCCCATGATCATTAGTGCTGATGATCCAGCTGTTTTTGGGGCTCGTGGTTTGTCGTATGACTTTTATGAGGCTTTCATGGGAATAGGAGGTTTAAAAGCTGAGCTGACAACATTGAAGCAGTTGGCTCTGAACTCAATCAAGTAATTTTATAATTTGTTTCTTAAGTAGCTTTGTTCATGTCAGATATAAAGTCAATTAAAGATTCCACTATATCCCCCCCATCACTCAGCTCCTGGCCCACACAAGCTATCATTAGCTCATCTGTCCCCATTGTTCTCCATGAGTACACACCATGCTGACCAACTAATGCTTCAGCATCTAAGTTTGGTGACAAGTCATTTAATAAATTCATAGCATGATACATTTTGTTAGAGAATTTTCTTTCTCTGAAATGCAAACCATGTTCTTTTAAAAGATGAAAGAATTTCCATTTTAGTATTGCTTTTCATGGTTTCAGTTTATCCCAAGACATTTTATAGTGAATTATTTACTTTTTTGATGCTTTTTTACATGGGTGACGAACCAGCTTTTGTGGCTCATCCCTAATTGCCCTGGAAATGAGTTGCTTTCTGGATGATTGCACAAAACAGTTAAGAATACCACATTGCTGTGGATTTGGAGTCGTTTATTGTCCACACAGGATGGCAGTTTCCAAGCATGCACACTGTTGTTAAACATAGCAGCCATTCTGTCCCACAGATCAGTTTCTCTGCTTAGGTTTAGTGTTCAGTATTGATCAGGGCACAGGGGGCTACAGTCCCTTGTTTGTCTTTAAATAGTTGCTTGTAGAAGACAATGGTTTAATGATTCATTTAACATTCAGAATAACTGGCAATGTAGCACATTCAGTACTATCCTGAAACACCAGTTTAGATTATGTAGTCTGGACTGGGATTTGAACATGTGACTTTCTGAATGAAGATGAGTTCTACTACTGAGCTAAATTGACACCTCTTCACATTGATAGATTATGGTAGGCTGAGAGTTCAACTCACAACTAGTTGAAAAATGATAGCAGCATAACTAACGATTCCTGAATGTGCTACCAGCTTGTGAAAATATGTTTATGCACATTTTACATTGCTTGGTTAGGGAAAACACTGAAAGCCTTCACGAGCTTATTGCAAATTTGCAGTAGTGTCAAATTGCTATAAGTTTCTTTTGCTTATCTGGTAAAAATCATTTCATTCCCATTCTCTCTACCATTGATCAGTCTCTGAGACCACAGAAGGTGGATAAAATGACCATACAAAAGGCTACATTATTCTTTCAGTTAACTTGCCCAGAACTTCTCAGTTCAGTAACCTCCACCGTGGAAAGGAATAAAAACATTTTTGTTCAAACGTCATCGTCCTCACATAGATGTATATTGCTAGTCCTACTGTTATTCTCAATGGGTCGGAATTCTGGTATACATCACCACAAGAACATAGCTGGTCCACAATTTATCACAACTTCATTGTTGGATGCATTTTGGGGAATAGAATAGAACATGCTTTTATTGTCACGGGGAGCACTAAACAAATTATTTTCATGTGAATATTTATTTGAACGTGGGTTTACTTGCTATAGTGACTTCTGTGATGATATTATAACGTTACTTAAAAGAGAATTGAATGTATATTTAAAAAGGAAAACTTTTAAAGAATATGGCAAAAGAGCAAGGAAATAGCATTGATATGATTGCTTCCAATTGAAGATTTTATACTAACAGGCTATGTGACCTTCCAAACTGCACTTTTTATGTTTTTACAGCCCTTCCTTCTGTTGGTTGTTATGAATGTGAAGTTTTATAGAATGATTGATTGTTTTGGGATCTCTCATTAATCCATGGTAATATGGAGAAATGAAAAAGGTCTAAAGCAAAAGCAGTAATTGCTGGAGAAACTCACAGGTTTGACAGTTTCTGTGGAGAGAGAAACAGAGTTAAATCTTCAAGTCCAGTGACCCTTCTTCAGATCCAAAGAAATGAATTCTATCCAACAACAAGTCTGGGTGGCTTGGTTAGCACAGGACATGGGTGAGCTTCATAGACAGCAAGGTACAAACTTTTTGTACCTGACAGAAAGCTAGAGCAGCTGGTTTAATTATAGACAGGCCTTTGTGTCCTTCAAAGCACGTGTTCCTTATCTGTACCACCCCTACATACACAAATCGATTGGGAATCTACCCAAGGGTGAGTCCACTGTCTTTAGGTATTTTATGCTTGGTGATGCTTTAATTAGCTCAGATCCAGGTCTCTGCCCCCATTTTGAGAGGATGTCCCACCTTAAATTGCTTGATGGTCAATGCAATTGGATGAGAATTCTGTAGTAACATCCCAACAGAACTAGTATCAAACAGTGGCTACTACTGGGACTATAGCCGGAACCTGAAGAAGAGAATATCATGGCAGACAAACTGAAAATTAAGGAAAGAGTATGTCCTTCAGCAGAGTGCCTCTAATTGATGCATTGTGACCTTGGGAACATAGCACACACACATGCCCACATTGCCCAGTAAAACCTATTAGACTGACTACCTGTTTATAGTGGGCTGCTGACTGGTGTGGGCAAAAATATTGACTTGAATGGTGAGGGCCTCAGTTGGCCAAAAGTGGAGATGTTGGGGAGGTGGGGTGGAAACAGGCTGTTCAGTGTCGTTATTGCACCTACCGTGACCACTCTGTAAAATGCAAGATAGGTTGAGGCTGAGCAGTAAGGCACACGTTAAATTTTATGAGCCCCCTGCCTACTTCATCAAAGCCAGCAGGAAGGATAACCTCTAGTCCTATGTTGAGGTTTTTGGGCAATATGAGAGAGAAAAAGAGAGAGAGATCTCTCTGACTAATGTAGTTAACAGAAAGATTTAGGCACCACTGGCAAGCTCAGCATATGTTGTCCATCTGTAATTGCCCTTGAACTACGTGGCTTGCTAGATCATTTTGGAAGGACCAGTTACCTGCTAAGAAATATTAATTAATGTTGCTTTAGTTTTGTTACAGTAAAAGACTTAAAACTTGAAAACTTTATGTACTCTTCTTTTAAGTGGACACTGAGAAATTAAATATCTTTCAAATTGTTGCTTTCAATGGGGATTATGATATGGATCACACAAAAACAAGTTAGACAGTTTTCTACTTCTTGCATTTGTATGTCTACTTCTTTTGCCTAAAATTTATTATGATGAGCTGAATAGATATTTGATGCCTTTTTCTTTTGTTTTTTTCTAGCTACAGTGCTATGTCTGCCCAGATGAAAGCTGAAGCCATCAAACTCTGGCAAGAAAAGTGGGATCAGTTTTTGGATGTGGTGCTTCACATGTTCAACAGTGATGAGCTGTGAGAAAAGATTTTCTAATAGGGAGGTTTTGATGTTTTAAATTAATCCTTACTTAGAATAGGTTATCTGGCAGTCTTGATGTGGCTACGGAAGAAAATCTTGTATAGTGTGTTGCATGATCTCAGGACAACCCAAATATGCTTTACAGCCAATTAAGTTATTTTGGCATTCTTTATTATAATGTTGGATTCTATGAATATATCTTGTAAAAGTTGGTGCATATATATGTATTTGGGCCATGCTTTATATTCATTCAGAATATGTTTGCGAAGAATGATTTATACCAATTTGTGAATGTGAATTTTCTCTAGTAAGCTTAAAAAACAGCCATCCATCCTGATTCAGTTCCTGTTCCTACATAACTCTGATCTTGTACCATCAACCTTCTTGGCTCCAATGATAAGATCATAAGAAATAGGAGCAGGATTAGGCCATTCAGCCCATTGAGCCTGTGCCACCCTTCAAGGATATTGACCTTAACTCTATTTTTGTGGCCCTCCCCATAACCCTTGACTCCCCTTATCTAAACATCTGGCAATATCAGGACTAGCCTAAAGATTTGGAACTTTAGTCTTTTGCTAGTTTTGAAGCTGAAATTCCTTTTTACATCCGTTCGAAAGCAAAACTGACTGACCTCCACTTCCTTTATTCATTAACAGGTTGAGGGCATCGCTGGTTAGGCAGCGTTTATTGCCCATCCCTAATTGCCCAGAGGGCAGTTGAGAGTCAACCATATTGCTGTGGGTCTGGAGCCACATGTAGGTCAGACCAGGTAAGGATGGCAGTTTCCTTCCCTAAAGGGCATTAGTGAACCAGATGGGTTTTTCCCGACAATAGGCAATGGATTCATGGTCATCATTAGATTCTTAATTCCAGATATTTTATCAAATTTAAATTCCAACATCTGCCGTTGCAGGATTCGAACCCTGGCCCCCAGCATGTTATCTAGGTCTTTGGATTAACAGTCTAGTCATAATACCACTAGGCCCTACTACTTCCCCGCTGGCTCTGACACCATTTTGAAGTTTGAAGCTAAGAATCTTAGATGGCCCCCCAATCTGTTGTCTCGCTTCTCCCAATTAAAACATGCCCTTTTCTGAATTTTTATTCACATAAATAAAGATCTTAAAATCAAAATGCAATTGCATGATGATTGTCAAACCTCTCCTTGCCAATCTGTATTGGCTGCTTGTGAAATTTTATGTTGATTTTAAGGTTGGTATTTAAGATTTCATAGCCCTCATGGCCTCATACACACTTCATTTTCTCTCTTTCGGCCTTTTGTCTTTCAAAACAGCCTCTTGCATCAAACTGCTCCTCTAATGTTCCCTTACCTAACCTTACCCCCCTTGTAAATCTCTCTGCTATAGTGACAGCCTCCCTGCTTTGGAAAGCATTCTGAAAAGCCTAGTGGTCAACTCTGCTTTCAGCTACACCTTTCTATTATTTCCTTGTGTCCTCTCACACAGTATGCAATTTATTCTGCTACACTGCAAAATGTTTTTCTATTTACAAAACAGCAGTATAGAAATGCAAGATATTCAATGTAATAAGTTGTAAACTGAAACTGTTGACAACCTACACACCCAACAGTAAAATTACATCCTTGACCATTTAAAATTATGGACGAAAATATAAAAGGAAACAATTTTTGATTATCAGTTTGTTACACCAAGTTGTGTCAGGGATGTGTAGTAGCAATAGTGGAGAGTAGATGTTTAGCTGGTGAGTCTAAGCTAAAACTGGCATTGAAACATCATTGATCCTGATATGATTTTGCTGAGATGAAGTCATTTTAGATGTGGAAAGTTGTCATGCTTAAAAACAGAGAAACATTTTGGAATCTATTCTTGCACTCTATCTTGAACCATAATTATTTCTCAGATATTGATAATGTTAGCTCCATTTTTATGTATGGCTTGTGGAAAAGAAAGAAATGTTTAAATTCATTTATCCTGCCATTGACATTATTGAGAGGAATGTTCACTGTAAGAATGATCCTGTAACATGGCCCATGTAAGGTTATACACAACCTGCACTGTCACCATATTCAATAAAGTTCGCAGGTGTTTGCAGATTGAATACGTGTTGTTCTTTATGAAAACAATGATATAATGCTGTAGAAATTATATGCAAAATTTATCATGTATTTTAACAGCTGTTATATGCATTTGTAAATGCATGTGACTTTAAAGATGGGTGAAAGACTGACTGCATTATGTGTTAAATGTAATATAGTTGTCAAATAAAAGTTGCCAAAATCTTTCATTTACTACATAAATATTTGTGTAAGGGCTTTTACATGGCAGAGCAAAGATTCAGGTTCCTCATCATTTGTATTCAATTAGAATCTCTGCCATCTGCATGGATATCTATTCATCCCAGCAGGATAAGGAATTATTCATTCAGCTGAGTGTGAGGAACCTGATTAAATGACTACTGAGAAAGGGGCTCTGTAATATAAGTAATGAAACATTGCTCAAATGGACAGATTTTTTTTGAGTATTCACCGATATGGTAATAGGACTGTTGACAAGGTGAAATGTTACTGCTTGCTTATTAACATTACCACGAGGTGAAATGATTATGCAAGTCTGGCACATGAATATTGTGTCCAACTGCAGTATGGATTAGCATATGGCATGTTAGTTTAAAACTGAAAAACACTTAATTGTGCTTTTATGAACCATTTTGTGTCAATGGCACTAGACTGCTGGACTGCAATCGGATAGCACTCCCACCCCTGAATCTTTTACTTTATTTTTATTGAAGGTAAACTTCAGTTGAGTTGTACAACTCATCCCCAATGACTCTTTCTTTACATTTCATATTAACTGATAAAATAGATTTTGCTTTGCTTGAATATAGTTTACTCTTTTGAAATTCAGAAGACAGTGGCCTAGAAATTCAGTTGTGCTTTTTGGGTAATCCTATGTGATGAGAAGGAAACATACACTCATTGCTAGTTGGGAATGTACCGCCTGCTATATTGGTCGTAGCCAAAAAAATTGGAGTGTAGTACCGATGTCTGAAACATGCTTCAGAGGATTTAAGGACTGTGTGTAAACCCTTATTGTAAGATTAGTTTGTCCTGAGGCAATTGATCCCTCTCCAGAGAAATAGGCCTATCTGCAGCCTAATAGGTATCCTTCGATTTTTAAATATAGTGTGTTGTATATTGAAATTGGAGGAACAAAAATGCAGAGTCTTCACACCAATTTCAACAATCTCTGCTGCCTCTAAACCCAGTTTTCACCCTTCCACACTTTCATATCAACAGCTTTTCACAGCTCATCAGCTTGCTGGAATTGAGGCTAGAAGCCTAATAAGAAAAATTGAGGGGGAGAAGATATCTTTTTGAAATGACTACATAAATGATGGTATGCTCTTTTTAAAGTGATGCTTTAGAGAAATATTATTAACGTTGTTCATAACTGACAACGTGATAGAATGTAATGTTTGAAAGTGAGGTAGTTCATTCTGAAGCAAGGGCGTAAAATTTAAATAAGGAAAATTATGAAGGCATGTTGCGTAAATTGGCTGGGGTACATTGGGCAAATATATTAGAAGGACCCTTAGGAATACTAATATATAGAGGGATCTTGGAGTGCATTTCCATAGCTTCCTGAGAGTGGCAACACATGTGGATAAGGTGGTAAAGAAGGCATATTGCATGCTTGCCTTCATTCGTCAGGGTATTGAGTATAAGAGTTGATAAGTTGTGTTACAGCTGTATAAAAACATTAGTTAGGCCACATTTGGAATATTGGTGCAGTTCTCATCACCCAAGATAGTCTGTGGACGCATTGGAGAAGATGCAGAGGAGGTTTGCCAGGAAGTTGCCCGGACTGGAGTATGTTCACTATGAGGAGAGGTTGGACAGACTTGGATTATTTTCACTGTAACGTGTGAGGCTGAGGGGCGACCTGGTAGATGTATATACAGTTATAACAGTCATGGATAGAGTGGATAGTCAAAAGTCTTTTTCACAGGGTGGAACTGTCAGATACTAGTGGGGTTAAAATTGTTTCAGAGATAGTAGGAACTGCAGATGCTGGAGAGTCTGAGATAACAAGGTGTAGAGCTGGATGAACACAGCAGGCCAAGCA